GAGAGAGAGAGAGAGAGAGAGAGAGAGAGAGAGAGAGAGAGAGAGAGAGAGAGAGAGAGAGAGAGAGAGAGAACAGATTTTGTGTGAGTGTGTCTGTGGGGAAAAGAAGAAAGAATTTGATAAAGTGTGTGTGTGTGTGTGTCGGGGTGTGTTTGTTTGTGTGTGTATTTTCAACGTGTGTGTGCATGCGCAGAGGATGCTCCTACCCGAATGGTCCATGCTCGGACCTCATCTGGGCCGGCTGTGAAGAAGTACTCCAGCTGCAGGACGGCGTAGCCTGCCTTGATGATCTTGCTCAGGGCGCTAGAGAGAGAGAGAGAGAGAGAGAGAGAGAGAGAGAGAGAGAGAGAGAGAGAGAGAGAAAGAGAGAGAGAGAGAAGTCAGCTTGAATCGTGGGGTTTGAATTGTTTTTGTATCCTTTATCGCCACTGATGCCTAGGCAAAGTTCTCTTCAGTAGGAAGGCACCATTCATTCCAATATAAACTCATTAAGTGAGCAAGATGGGTCACTTCATTTCACAGAAGACATTCAACTCTCCAATGGTTTCTATGATTAATTAGAACGCTCAAAGACTCATTTAACATTTTTAAGAATTCAACTCAATGCCTCAGTCTTTGCTGAGAAAGAAGAAGAGAGAAAAAAAAACCTCTGCTGTCACAATTTTTCTCTCCACAGAGGTTTTTTTCACACGAGAACAATAAACGCAAAAAATGCCCAAGTTATAATTATACCTACAGATGACAGATGACAGTTAAAAACTTAATTTAGAGGAAAACCTTTTGACTGAGTTGTTTAGTAAGAAGAGGGATCCTTTGCTTTATAATGGTAATTACTCTTCCATTTATTATTCTATCAGCACACGCAATTAAAGGAGTGCATGGAGGACACAGCTGATAATAAAGTGTGGGGAGACTGAATGCTAATTAACCTCTGTGTCTTGTGCTCCGTGCAGTACTTCTGCTGCTCTTCGTTGCTCATGTCTTGGATCTGGCTCTCCAGGTTGCCACTGAAGGGGATGACCAAGGCTCCGGGGTCATGACTGTCCACCCACTCCTTGATTTTCACCAACCTGATGGGAAAAACAGCAGCCGCATAGGCATGATAGTTGTTGGTTTTTGCTTGCAAGTGGAAATTCGTAAGAATATGAGTGTTATTTGGAGACAAATATGTGAATTTTAAAGRAAAAAATCGGGTTTGTCATGTATTTAGAGAATTTACAAATGTGGAAAAAGCACAACCTCGCAGGAAATGTTGCAGTTTTGCAAAACTTGCAAAACTGAAAGCACTTAATTTCTGAGTGTGTGAAAATTCTGTTAGAAAAAAAGATGGAATATGTGGCTATTTAATTAGGATTTTAAGTTTTTTTATTCTAGATTAAAAGTTTTAYATCCTTTGAGCATTTTGTGCTAACATGGAAAACAGATTTTGTTATTCATAAATCAAAACTCAAGGAGTTTTATTACAGATCTAGCAGCATTAAAGGCTCAAGGCAGTACTTTAGTTTGTGATTTAAAATTTTCGGAAACCATAGTGGCATACCTGTTGGCTTGACAAAAAGAAGAAAAAAAGAAACTTACCATTTTTTTAAACCTTTACTATTTTTCCAATGTCCCAGAATCCAAAATTACCCACTTAAACCTATAAAATCAAAGCACTTTCTGATTAACATTCTAAGTCCAAAATTAAAAATAAAGCTGATTTTAAATGATTAAAAAAGCTTTGCTATTTTTTTTTAGAAGCTGAACATTCAAATACATAAAAATAGGCAATGTAACCATAGCTGCCATATAATTGTAGAGTAAAACACACGACATACATTGTCATCATGGTGAAATTCTGGCAGCCAAAGCTGACAGTTTTTTATCATCACAATACTTTTTTTAAACAGCGTATCACAAAGAAAATGCAGCTGTRCAATAAGAAAACAGCTTAAAATGAGAATAGTTTGTGTGATTTGGATTTTAAATAGTGATTTGAAGTGTGCACGGTACAGCTAAAATAAAAAAAACAAATGTTGATTCATTTTGATTTGATTAAKCACGTATAAATTAACCTGTGAATTGAAATCCCCTATATCCAAAAATATGCTCCAGTGCTCCAAAAATACACAAGTTTTCTCATTATATATATATA